CAGCAAGGCAGTGCCAGCACCCAAGGCATGGATTCCCATGCTGAAGCCTGCAGGAGGCAGAGCTCCTGAAGGAACTGTTCCCAGCATGGGTTGCATCAGCTGTAATTTGACAGTGGGGTGTGGTGTTGCAGATGGCTGCTTCTAGCTGATAATGCTTCTCATTAGCTCAAAGCAGACCTTCAACCTGTGTGGGTAATAGCTGAGTTTGAGATGAATGAGTTATTGCATGCCTTGGTGAGGTACTCCTGGGTCCAGTTCTGATTAGCCCAATCCATGCTGGCCTCCCAAGAGAAAGGACCATCCAGGAAGGGGTGGGAGTGCATATTTTGGAGGGAGCCTCCTTCAGTGTAGTGAGTCACAAATTCATTCTGCTTTCTTCTGACCTCTAATGACAGTGATTCAAATTTTGCTGTTTTGAAGGGTCAGTGTTGCGCTCCTGTCTTTCTCCATAATCTTAATTTCTGCTGAATCTTTTTGCCATATGGCATGTGGACTTGCTAGCCTAGCACTTGTCAACCTATTGACTTTTTTTTCTCCCATAAGCTGAATGATTGTAGGTCTTCTCGGATCAAGCCAATTACTCTTCTGACCCCTTCTTTATTATTGATCCCAATTTCCTCTTTACAGCTTGAGCTCTCTGATACAATTTTGGTTTTGTTTCTTCCTCTGGAATCATAGCAGAGAGATTTAGGTTAGACATTGAAGGAAAATATCTAATGGAAAATGAGATTAAGCAGTAGAATTGACTATGTGGAGAAAAACATGTGATCTTCTTCATTGGAGACATTAAACAATAAGTTAGGTTGATTGTTCTTAGAAATGTCTGGAGTAGCACTGACCCTTCTGTGGTGTCAAGTGATTGGCTAACCATTACGGTTATTTCCAGGCACTCTGGTACTGTGAGGATAAGTTTGTTGTGCTATAGTCATATAATAGCAGCCTATATCTAATTTCAGCATGTCCTTTTGTTATTTAGCACAATGATTGCCATCGCTGCTTCAGACCTGAAGAAGGGCTCATGTGCCAGGAACTGACTCTGTTTCTTTTCTCATTTTATCAGCTGGTCTTATAAAAGCTGCTGCTTCTTTTTGTCTCTCTGATAAATGAGTTCCCTCCTTTCCCCTCCCTGTACAAGAAGTAGAATGGAGCAGTTGTTGTGACATCTGCCTTTAACGCTGGCAGGCTGTCAGCTGAGGAGCCTTGTGGTGACACTGCATTTTTTAGTACTCTTCTGAGTTCAGGCAGGATGGGAAGTGGAGCTGCACAGAGCAGGTACCGCTGCTCCTGCTGCCTCATTACTGCTTTTCTTCGGAGAGCTGCAGGCACCTTTTCAAGGCTGAATGTTATCCCGTCTCGTGTATGTCTATGTATGGGAGGGTGGGGAGGGCGAAATGAGATGCTGAGGTGGTGAAGAAGCTGCCCCCGCCCCAGTCCCAGCCCTTCTGTAGTATCTCGGCATATTCCAAAAGGACATTAAGGTATGTAGCTCAAAACTCAACAAGGAGGGTGTTTTTCTCTAACCAAACAGTATGCTCAACTGCATGTTTTCAGCAGGGAGAGTTTTGTAATATACAGTGAGAGGGTTGGAGCTGTACCTCAGCACAACCTTAATACTCTTCATTGTCTAACAAATAATTTTTAAGAGTTGTGTTCCCATCTTGCATTCCCAGAAGCTCTCCCTGAAATAAATGGTCTGGGAGCCCTGATGAATACAGTGTGCATGTAAATAGACAGCATGGTTCAGCTGTGGCCTAAACAAGTGCAAATTCCTTGACCTCCATGGAATTGTCTCTGTTTACATAAAAGAGGATAAATTTGGCTTTGTAGTCTTAAGTGGTGGCATTTTAAACAGCTCAGCTGCCAGTAAGGGCCATTGTGTCTTTGGTTTGTTCTTGATATTATAAAATGTGTATCTAATAAAATAGTTTTATAACAACATGAAACATGCACTCTCCATAAAAAGTGCTACGTGGCAGGTTGAGTTTTGGTGATTTCCATTCAAATTTGAGTCCTAAATGCATCAAGGTGAATGAATCAATAACTGACTAGCTAAAGAACTAGCAGAAGAGGCATGTTCAGTTACTTCAAGGTACTCAGGAGAATTTTCCATGAGATTATCTTCCTTGACCTTTACATGTGATACGTAGTTTTTCTTTCTTTTATTCTTTTGCTCAGATTTAAAAAAAAAACTAATAAAAAAAGAACAAACAAACAAAACGGGATGAAAGCCCAGCCAGGATAGCTACTGGTGGAAGGACGTTAATTTTTAATTTTTTTAAAGTTTTAATAAATTGGAGCTTGTAGCAGAAGGGAGGATGCATGGTTTTTTTGCTTACTTAAAACAAAGATGAAAAAACAGGTCTTTACTTCTGAATCAGCCAGGGTTATTTCAAAATTTAAACCTTTTCCTCTCCTTGTATAGGAATCTCAAACTGGTGTATAGTAAATAGATTTACTCAGTGCACATGTATCTTCAAAGAAGTAAAATGTTTTCAAGAAAAATTGAATGGGTCAGAAAGCACTGTCAGGTCTTTGTAGTGCAGAGATAGCAAACAGCTGTGTGTGGTTTATTCCCAGGCACTTGGAAGCATGACTGTGTTGAAGTCCCATCCTACCGGCACATTCAAAAGAGTCATTCCTCTTTGGCTGCAGCTAGGAGTTCTGAACTACTGACACATTCGGTTAACTTTGAACTTCAATGTGTAAACGTTAAAATACATAACTTCCTGGGAATCTCACCAGGACATACTGGGTAATTTTTGGCCTGGCTTGAGGAAGTTTCGATCTCTGCGTTGAAATAGGAGCATCATTGTTCTCCTGAAACCACTTCCCAGCAGCAGACTGTGCTGGCAGCAAGATCAGTCATTATCTTGAATAAAACATTCAATAAGCACAATATTCTGATGTGGTTACATTACTGTGTTTGATTCAACTTTTTGCTACAAGGCTTGACAAAGGATGGTATTATTTCCCAGGTATGGAGTTGTTTATAAGCTGTGGTAAGGAAAATCAAAATAGTGGGTTTGTTTTATTCCTTGCTTCACTTTCAAGTGAATATCCAGAAGAGAGTCTGTCTAAAGGGAAGTCTATTTAACACTTCACAGGCTACTTTGTCACACCGGTACCTGTTAGTGCAGACCTTGGGAAGCAACTGATGCTGAGTTCCTCTTGCCCAGAGGGAGCGGTCCTGCCCTGGTGTCAGCTTAGGTGTGCTCCTTGAGCCAGCCTGGCTGCAGGCATTTGTCAGGAGACACGGATTCAAGCAATCTACCTTTTATATGTTTTATAACTAGCTAGGCCCGGTTTGCAGAGTGTTCCTGATACTCACCTCTTACAGATGCATCCTGGCAAATCTGACTCTGGCAGTTTTAAGGCAGAAGTGCCCCGGCCCTGGTGGCAGAGCACACATTCTCTGTGCAAAGCCCAGCACCTTGGCTGAAACTGTTGATGAAAGCAGCTTGGGAATAAGGTGCTGGACTGAACTGGAGAGGCTGGGGCCGGCCCGCATTCCTTTCTGCTGAGCCTGCTCCGGCTGGTAACCTCTGGCACTGGAACGGGGCAGGCGGCTGGGACAGAAGCATCAGAAACCACTGCAGCCAGAGCTTGTGTGGCAGAGCCCTGAGCAACTCATTTGACCTCAGCCTCTGAGTGAAAGCAGTGATGCTGACCTACATAGAGGTGGTCGAAAGGGGAAAGCGGTGGAGGAGCTGTGTTGCTACTCATTTTAAAATGCTCTGGGGCAGCCAAAATGTCTCTTTGGCCTCAAAAACAGAGCAGTCCTGCTGCAGAGCACTTGAGAGTGAACAGGCACTTCGCAGGTTTCAGTGCAAACTCATGTGCTTTGCTCCTAGTACGGGGTAAAGCAGAACTGCTCCTCTTTCTGCAGAAGAGCTTGCTCCCATGGTAGTCTGGGATTACCAGTGAAATGGCTTATTCGAGGAGAGCCTAGGAAAATCCGCTCCTTTGCAAAACTTGGGTGTTCCTGCAAGCTGTTCATTGTTTCAAGATGTCATTCCCTTGTGCAGGGAAAGGAAATGGAGGAGGGGAAGAGTCAGCACAGATCCAAGTTGATGATGGGGTTCCCAGGATGCTTCTGGATAATACCGACGGGGACGGGAGCTGCGGGGCCAGATGCCCAGCACTGACTCCCTGCCAGGGCCTCCCCGCGGCTGGTTTTACCCGCTCTGTGTTTGCTGCTTGTGCTGCTTTGAACGTTGCAGAAGGCTTTTTGGATTTGCGCCTTTCTGGCTGCCATACCCCATCTCTTCTTCCTTGTCCCTTCTAAACAAGCCCTATCCTGTCAGCCGCTCCTCCTGCCTCCAGCCCTTCCCCTTGCAGTCTGACTGGCACCTTTGTTCTTTCCAGACCCCAGCCTGAGTTCGTTTCCAGTGTGTTTTCTGACCACATTTCTGTGACCTGCCTCCTTAGCATTACCTAGTTTATCCACCACCTGATCTTCTTTTCCCTAGTCTCTGCTCCAACCTGTTTCACACAGTCCTTTCCTAATCCCTTCTCTGACTTTATCCGCCTTCCCTCCATCCTTTCCAAAACTGCTTCTTCCGAGAGGCCTACAGCCTTCATCCTCCCCCTTTTAGCACTGGCCCCTGAAGCTGGTAGGGTTCGATTGCTCTTGCTCGGCTTTCTGGAGTGCTCTCCTCCACCTAGAGAGTATTTAAGATTGATAGGAAACTGCAGAGCTTGGATTTAGCCTCCTGCACCCCTAGCACTGGGTAGAAAAATACTTGTCTGTACAGAGTGGCATTTGGGTGTGTACGCGGAGCAGTACCAGGGGTGTTTGTGCCATGTTCGATGTGTGGCTGCCAGGGAGGTGCCAGTTCCTCCCCTCTAGTGGCCAAGCTGGCCTGCTGGCACCTTCCCCTCCCCAGCCCTGCCTGGAGAATCAGTCCCAGGGAAGCTTTATTCCTAGTAAAAAGGAGAGGAGCTGGCAGTGATGATGTTACTTTGCTACTCCTTTAAAACTTGAGGAGATGACTGGATGAATGATAAGCTCATGTATTTATTTGTTGCTCCCACAGGGCTCGGGTGTGATTAAAGCAGGTTTTGCAGGCGATCAAATACCGAAATACTGCTTTCCAAACTAGTAAGTATTCTGCTGGTCTTGGTAAGTTCTTTGTACCACATACCAGTTCTTTGATATGTAGAGGGGAAGAATGGTCCAATTTTGTAACTGGAGAAATGAGTTCTTCTTTTTCTGCCTGTTGCACAGAAGTATCAGGGAGAGGAGATCTCTGCTATTAAGTACTTTCAGGTTTTCCTGGGGGGACACATACACCATAAAAGATGACTTACCACTTTGTCAGGCTCAACACCCAAACAAAGCTACAGGATCCTTTAGTCTTGAGACATGAGGAAAAGGACCGGGAGAAGGAAAAAGTTGGGCCAAGAGGTGTGAAGATCTCTCTGTTTCTTTGGTGTGTTGTCTGATGTCTTGATTCCTGCCAAATTTCCCTGGAAGTTTTCTGAGAGTTTTAGAGGAAGGAGGACTGCTGGATCAGAAACTCTGAATAGTCACTGGCTTTTATTTTCAATGGGGTGGGTTTTTAATGAGTGTATTTGTGTTCTGAGCAACGTGTTCTGTATGGTGAGGTGGGGTATGGGACTATAAATGTCTAATCTGAGAAGGCTATCTGAGGCCAGGCAGCACAATGTGGATCTGTCAGCTCAGACCATTGCTCAGTCTAGCCACGTTCACCCCAGGCACTGTTCGAACAAGTAAGTCCTGAATCATCAGGGGAAGTGTGACCAGACTTAGCTGACTTATGTCCTGCCAATTTAGAATTGTCTACAATCTGTTCCCTTCACCTCTGATTCTGAGATTAGCTCAGAGCAAACCTGGGTCTCTCTGCACCTGGTAGTGCCCCCAGACTTGCCCATTGCTTCAGAAAGTACAGGTTAGGATCAGAGAGGAACACAAAGTAGTTATTCCATGGGTGCATCTGAGGTCTCTCTCTAGAAGCATTTATACTCTTGCCTCTGTTCTAGTGTGGGCAGACCAAAGCATGTTCGTGTTATGGCTGGTGCTTTAGAAGGGGACATTTTCATTGGTCCAAAGGCAGAGGTAAGAAAACGTGTATACTGCACTTCTCCATACATCTCAGTGTGCTGCTGTAAGGAGGGGCTGTAGCAATTGTGCACAAAAGGGCTGTGGTTCCTTGGTATCAGCGTGTAGATTTGAAGAACAGAATAGATTATCGCTTTTAAGTGTGTCCAAGGTGGAGTGGTAAGGTTCATGAAGTTCTTGTGCCAACCTGCTAACCACAGACATTTTTCCCAAGTCCTTCTATATCTCTCCTTTTTTTACTAGGCTCCTTCTAGGTCTGTATGGTTACATCCCCATCTTTTTGACTGGGAACTTTAGAAATGGACCCTACTTGGTTGCCTTTTGTCTCCCCAGTGTGGGCAAGAAGCTTGCTTTCCACAGTCTTGCTTTTGTCACCATGTAGTCATGCGGTCTCACATTTCTCGTGAGCCCTGCGAACTACGTTCCCCAACACCACCCTGTTATGTTTTAGATCATAACTGAGCTGGTAGAACAAAGATACAATTTGATAGGTGTCTGTATGTTTGCTTGAGAAGCGTTAGGATAGAATGTGCTCTGCAAATGCCAGACTTTCCTACTTGGTATAAAAAGACCTTGTTTAATCTCGTGAATACCTTTCTGGGAGAGATGTTTGTGATTAATGTTCAGTTTTTGCCCTGTATGCTAGAGATAGGTTGTCTTTTAGTGGAATCAAAAATGAGAGAGTCTGACATTAAATCATAGTCATAGTGCTCAGAAATGTGATTGATTGAGTCTCTGACAGGTATGCTCTGTTGTCCTTGCTGTTTGCTCAGGAGCACAGAGGTCTCCTCTCAATCCGATACCCAATGGAGCATGGCATAGTGAAGGACTGGAACGACATGGAACGCATTTGGCAGTATGTGTATTCAAAAGACCAGCTTCAGACATTCTCAGAGGAGGTGAGAGAACTCATTTTGTAATGGCACAGGCGTCATTCAGTGTATGTGTAACACAAAGAGCCTTGGAACTCCAGGAAAGATTTGGGACTTTTCCTTTGCTCTCCTTTCTAAATGTGTCTGTTGTTAAGTTAGGCTCTTTTACCTCTCAGGAGATGAAATACACAAGAAATGTCCAAGCAGAATTCCTCCCCAGATCTAATGTTCTGGCCTGACTGAAAATCTGACTTTGAGCATTTGTTATTCACACTCTCTCTAATGATTCTGCTCTAGGCCAAGTGCTTCTAACTTTTCCTGTTCTGCCTGCGCATCAGGCATATCCACTCAGCAGTGACATGATTTGAAGTGAGGAAAGAGAAACCCACAGTCCTGTGGTCTGGAAGGAGCTGACCGAAAAAAATTATTAAATGACTGAGAGCAATAGTTGTATAAGTGAAGCAGGAATATTTCTGCCTGCTTGTGCTAAGACCATATGCCTTCACCCTTTCTTAGAGTCTATGTAATTTGGCTGATCTAGCTGATTTTTGGCACTGAGAGTCATCTTCTCCTCCATGGGGCAGGGTTGCTCACAGAGTAGATTTCCCAACACTTCTTCATAACTAGACCAGAACCCTGCTGGCCTTCCAACTTAATAGAGGTTATTCACAATCTAATACAGCTCAGTAGCTGAAATGATTCCATTCTACCTGTCCTCTTCCACCAGTGGTTCCTAAAGTGAATAAATAAGCAGAAATTTTCAAGAACACATGTCTAGCTGCCTCCTGGTCATTGCAGCACAGCTCCTTCTTTTCTTTACCAGCATCCTGTGCTGCTGACAGAAGCACCCCTAAACCCACGCAAGAACAGAGAGCGTGCTGCTGAGGTGTTTTTTGAGACCTTCAATGTGCCAGCACTGTTCATCTCCATGCAAGCTGTGCTTAGCCTGTAAGTGTCTTTCGTCTTTGATTTGCGCTTGTGAAATGTTGCCCTGAAATCCATTTTTTTCCACAAACCAAAAAAAAAAACCACCTGTGGAAGGCCACACTGATGTCTGAGTTGCCCCCTTTTCAAGCAAGAACTGAAACTCAGTTTTAATTTCTGTAGTAAAGAGTTTACAGGAATTTGTTGAACTATGATGAGAACTGCGTTTTGGGGGGTTTTTTAGCCCCTGTTCCTGTGAAATCTGTGCTCCCTGAGTTGAGCCTGGATGTGCTGCATGCGTGGAGTCACTTTGGATTGCTTGTTCTGACTTGATTGTTTGTCCCTTTGCTAGCTACGCGACTGGGAGGACTACAGGGGTGGTGCTGGACTCTGGGGATGGCGTTACCCATGCGGTTCCCATCTATGAAGGGTTTGCCATGCCTCACTCCATCATGCGGATTGACATCGCTGGCCGTGATGTCTCACGCTTCCTGCGTCTCTATCTCCGGAAGGAAGGCTATGACTTCCACACAACCTCTGAGTTTGAGATTGTCAAGACCATCAAGGAGGTGATGCACTGTGTGTTTCTGTGTTTATCCAAGAAGGGATTTATGCCCAAGGGAAGCTGTGACTTGTGAAATCTAATGGGAAGTGCCAGCCTACTTAGCTTCGCACCTCATTCCTTTATCTACCTGAGGGAGACTAGGGCCACTAAGATGATTAAAGAACTGGAGCATCTCTCATACGAGGAAGCGCTGAGAGAGCTGGGACTGTTGAGCCATGAGAAGAGAAGGTTGAGGAGGATCTTGTCAGTGTATATGAATGTCTGAAGGGAGGGTGCAAAGAAAACAGAACCAGGCTTATTTTGGTGATGTCCAGAGACAGGACAAGATGCACAAACTGCAACACAGGAGGTTCTGCTGAACATAAACTTTTTTACTGTGAGGGTGACCAAGCACTGGCACAGGTTGTCCAGAGAGTTGTGGAGTCTCCATCCCTGGTGATATTCAGAAGCCAGCTGGACGTGGTCCTGGGCAACCTGCTCTAGGTGCTGCTGCTTGAACAAGGCGGGCAGACAAGATGACCTCCAGAGGTCCCTTGCAACCTCAGCCATCCTGTATTCTGGGAGTTATTAGTCAAGGACGGATCTAATCCCTATTGAGGGGCTGTTAACATGGAGATGAAGGCAGACTGGTGGTTCAGAATCTGTTTTGCGTTTATCTGTGCTGCAGTATCTCAGAGTCTGATGCTATCTCTCACTGTTTGTTTACCCTTCAGGGCAAGGGTCTATAAAATCCATGGCAGGTAGGGATCACAAGTGGGTTATTGAAAGTTGCTTCCCCCCACCTCTCGTGAAAGGATTCACTCACAGTGTTTAGTGACCTTAGAGCTATGCAGCGGTTTGGAAAGGCATGATTAAGATCACTAGCAAAGCAGTTAGGTTCGCTTCTGTTGTGTGCCAAGAGAAGAGGACAGAGGTGGGACAGTGAATAGTAGCTCAGAGCTGGTGACTGCTCACAGCAGCTTTGCAGCATCACCGTGTCCACGCAGATGGGTTGCTCTCTGATTTCAGCAAGGCTGTGTGTGACTCGAGGCTGCCTCTCCGTCCATGTCTTCAGTACATGGGGTCAGTCTTCAGATCAGTACTGGCTGTGACTTGTGTGCTGATGCCTGGCAGTTGCTGCCACACTGTGGGCCCCCATCACAAGCTATGATTGCTGCAGATAACTCTGGGCTGAGTCAGCGGCCTGTGCCAGGGCTTGAGAGCGTTAATGTGCTATTCTTGAGCCTGTGACCTACCGGCAAAGGACCATAACGGAAATAGTTTGCTTGTTCTGCATGGCCATGGCTCAGTGTGTCCTTCATGTCACAGTACAGCTGAATGGCTTTTGCCTGTTGCCCAGAGACTTCATAGGGCTGTAGATTTTAACCTGGTAGCTGCTTTTTGCTCTATGAGTGTTGATTGCTGAATGGGAGGAAAAAACCACATGTGTGAAAAAACCCACATGTGTGGATACTGAAGCATCTGTGGACCAGAAGGTCTAGTGATCAGAGGCTTGCTGGAGAACTTTCTTGCTTCAGAAGAAGCGTGTTTTGTACCAAGCATCAGTTGCAGTGCAATTGCAGTGGCCTTACGGGACAAAGTGAGAGGCTTGTACTCTTCGGAAATATACTTGTGCTTTTCATAAATGGCCAAGGCTCCCTTTGCATCTTGGGTGATGAAACTATTAAAAGGTGTTGTGCTGACTGTTAAGTGCAAAGTCTTGCACCAGTGCAATCTTTTCTCTGGACTATACACTTAGGGAAACAAAGAGCAGGGGAAAGTAAGCCAAGTCCTGCTTTGCATACTGACTACCCTCACCAGTGAGACTGCTGAAGAAGAAAGGAAACAACCTGATGTTCACTCTCTGACCTACATCTTTTGCTTTACTTTAAGATAAATTTTAGCTGGGGAAAGTGTTGCACATTTCTAGGATATATGTGCCTGGAACTTGCAGTGAGATTTCTGTTGATGCTGGTGTCATTTGTAACTTGATTTGCAAATCTGAGGGGTTGAGTGTGGCTTCTTGTGTTTGCAGCTTTCTTGCCTTGGGAGAAGTTTGGATGTGCAGCCCAAATGTACCGTGGCAAGCAGAAAGCTGAGATCCTGGACATGGGAGTTTCTCAGTCCCAAAAGCTGCTTGTGATCTGTTAGAGTCTGTCTGACTCGAGATTTGGTGGTGTTTTTTTTTTTTTTTTCCAAAGGGGAAAAAATTAGGAATTTGGGGATGTTGAAAAGTCTACAGGAGAAATTACCTTAAAAGGGGAGCCTTCACTTATACCTGCTTCAGTACAAACATTGTTCTCTGTTTCTTGGTTTACTGTGAGGGTGGTCAAACGCTGTAGCAGGTTGCCCAGAGAGGTTTGTAGATTATCCATCTGTGGAGGTACTCCAAACATGACTGGACGTGGGTTTGGGCAGCCGGCTCTAGGTGACCCTTCCTGAGCAAGGAGGTTGGACTAGATGATCTCAAGAGGCCCCTTCCAACCTAAACATTTCAGTGATTCCGTTTAGGTATTTTTTAAATTGCCAAACGATAACAATTTGGAATAGCAAAACTTACCGTGGAATAAAAAGTATATGGGGTGCGGGAGCAGTTTGAAAAGTCAAAGTATTTTGTTCCCTGTAGCTTAAAACGTAGGTGGCCAATGGGAAGTGAGCAGCTTAGATCATGTTAAGAAATGTTTGCTGTTAGCTATTATCGTTTACCCCGTTGAAATGCAACAATGGACTTTGTTTGCGCTCCTAATCTGTTGTGAAGTTACTGAGCCCACATTTATACAAGGTTAATGTCACTAAAAGTGTTTCAGATGCATTTACTTTGCCCTACAGTAGGCTGGAAGCGCTCACAGGATAGTTACTCCATCTGTGCTAGAGGGAGGTAGCTTCTAAGCAGTAATAGAGAGATGGAAGCAGAGAGATGAGCGACAGCTGGAGGCGGTGTGAGCATCCTTGATGTCTCTAGTCATCACGTGGAGCTGTGGCATGAATAGGTATTTTTACCTGCTGTGAACCCAAAAGGTCTTTTTCCCCAGCACAAAGTATTGTTGAAATATTTTATCAGAGGCATTTGGGTTTACCCTTCCTTACCTCCCTCTCCCTGACTCTGTTTCCTCTCCAGCGTGCCTGCTATCTGTCAATAAACCCCCAGAAGGATGAGACTCTGGAGACCGAGAAGGCTCAGTACTACCTGCCAGATGGAAGCACTATTGAGGTTTGTAAGGACCACCCTCAGAGGATTCCTGATGTGAAGCACAGGGTTTCCAGAATAGCTTTCTGCCCAGTGATGGGAAATAAAATGCTGTGTTAGGTGGGAGGGGATAATTTTGAAAGACCAGAACTCATCCCAGGCTGTTGACTGGGCACTAGAATTTTTAGGGGAAGAAAACATTATTAGAAACCTCACAGCTTCTACTGGACATCCTGGCTAAGGATGCAGCATGACCATGGGGAGTCTGATCTGTTTGAGTGCAGGCTCTGATCTAGCAAATCTTTATGCAGATCAGGTATGGAGTGTGAGTAGTTACCAGCTCACTAAATTCAGCAGTGCTTTTGCATGTGGCTTTTGTCCTACCTAGAGGTGCAGAAACAATTGCTTTGAAGAGTGAGTTAAGAATACTACTCAAAAGACTGACCCTGCTATAGAACGGTTGAAGGAGAGGAAATACAGGTCTTGCCCTCCAGCACCAGGGGTGGATTGGCTCCCTTTTTTCTGCCAGTGACCTGCTGTATGGGGCTGAGCAGGTTTCTTCCTCTCTTTCATCTGCAAAATGGAAATAGCACCTTTTATAGGAGCAGTAGACCAAACTGGCTTTCACTTGGAAGCTAGTGATGCAGCATGAATGTCCAGGAAACTTTGTTACTCTGAGTTTTTTCCTAAGAAAGGCAGGCCCAAACTGTAGACAGTGAACAGAGCCACACTGCGCTCTCTTCCCCTCTGTGCTAACTTCTCCCTTTGCAGATCGGCTCTGCCCGTTTTCGAGCCCCAGAGCTCCTGTTCCGGCCGGACCTGATCGGAGAGGAATGTGAAGGACTCCATGAGGTGCTCGTTTTTGCTATTCAGAAATCAGACATGGACCTGAGGCGAACGCTGTTCTCCAACATCGTGCTGTCTGGAGGCTCCACGCTTTTCAAAGGTTCCTGCCTCTCCTCTTTGAGTGGGCTGTGACATACTTGATCTGTTGCTTCCTTCTCATGTGAAACTGGGAAGATAACCTATTTCACCCAACTTGTCCTGGGGGGTGAGGGCGGTGGAACTCTGCTCTAACTTTCTGAGTCGTAGTCTGGGTATGCAAGACACCTCTGCCCTTGTACATCACTTCCTGGGCTTGAAAGGCTTTTATTGGTTTTCCTCCTATTGCTCTGCCTGTGTCGGGACTCAATAGCTGTGTTCCTTCCTGCTGCTGTCTTTCAGGATATTTGAGACTAAGTACCTAAAAGGCTGTTGCATCTCCTAAGATACCTTTAGGTCTCTGGTGTGTGAGAGAGTCCAGTGGTCCTAGTACTGCATGAAGTGTGAGTTATAAGTGTGCAGAAAGCTTTCTGCCCATCACTGCAGGGCTCAGCTGGTCCCCATTGACTTAAAGGTACCCTCTGCCAGAACCCATCAGCCTGTTACCCACAGGTGGACATTTCCAGAGAGGTCCCTGTCTTCCTGTTTGAACCCTGCTCCCCTGTACGAGTGGGCTGGACACAGGAGGAATGCCCAGGGAAGGAGGAAGTCCTAAATAAAAATCTTGTTTGCTCCTCTCAAGTTGCTGCTGAGGGATAGAGCCGATTGTGCCAGTGTTTGAGGTCTGAGTGAGACAAAATCCCGTTATCTCACTGGCTGTGTTCTGTGCCTCTCCAGACTGGTGTCTCTGTGAGATCTGGAGTGGGATATTTGAATAGGACTGCATAGGACATGTCCACATTGTTAGTAGATGGAACTGGAGATTTTGCCAAAGAGCTCACACTGCACATTTTCTGTGTTGTGTAGGCTTTGGTGACAGGCTGTTGAGCGAAGTGAAGAAACTAGCTCCGAAGGACGTCAAAATAAGGGTAGGAGCAATCTCTTTTGTGTTTATCGCTTAACACATGTGTTGTTCTGTGGCCTTTAAAGAACCATGCTGAGAGTGCAGCTGCCATTTGCTTCAAACCAGAAATTACTTTCCTCAGACAGCCCAACAGTGTTTGCTGTTGTGATGAAAACCTGTTTGTTTTCATCACTAAGAAGGTGGCTCCTCTGACAATGTGACCCCTGTCCACGATCCTGGACCACAGTGGCTGTTTTGGGGGGTGCTGCTGGGTGTCTTTTTGGTGGGAGAGATCATACACGTTTGTTAGCCGTAGTGAAACGGGGGCAGTGTGCCAGGAGGAGCAGACCGGAGCTTGGGAAGGTACTGACTGGTTCTCTCTCTCTCTCACAGATATCAGCTCCTCAGGAGAGATTGTATTCCACATGGATTGGGTACGTACCACATAGCGACACGTCTTGCTGCGGGATGAGGGCTTGGGGGGTGCAGCCTGTCGGCATTGTCCCTTCTGGTGCTGTGTGCCAGGAGGGTTTCATCGTTCAGCTGCATGATGCTCAGCGTGTTACTGGAGCAGCAATCAGCAGGTAGTTTTGGAGGGGGCAGCTGGTGGACATTTGAGGCTAATGGGAGAGGAAGTGACTGCCCAGGGAGCGTTTCTGTTGTAGATAACTGGGAGCCTCAGCACCTTTCTGATGTAGGGAAGTACCACGCCATAGAAACAGCTTCTCTCTGCAGAGATATGATGAGAGTGCCCCCAACGTTTTCCTTTAACCCATAACATGCCTGTCTCTCCCCAGTGGCTCTATCCTGGCCTCACTGGACACCTTTAAGAAAATGTGGGCTTCGAAAAAGGAATATGAAGAAGACGGACCTCGTGCCATCCACCGAAAAAGCTTCTAGCCCTGGGATCTGTCCTCAGTCTCCTCCGAAGACTCACTTCAGTTCTAAACTCGCTTTTCTGAGTCCGAGTGTCTGAGAGCTGCCTGTGTGTGTGTGTGTGTGCGCCAGCATGCCCCGATGTCACTGAGCAAAGACAACAGCAGCAGGAGGGTTGTATTAGTACTACTAACTTCTTATTTTTTTTATTTTATTTTTGTTGTTCTTTTTTTAAATGGAAAGGAGAAAACACCAATCTGAGTTTCTCCAGAATGGCCCATTCCTTTTTCATTTCAGTCCCTTAGTTTCTGTATCACAATCACATTTGTCACTGTAAAACAAGCAAGCAAAAACAAAGGGAACAGCTTATAGAAACTGCCTAGCAAGCCAGAAGGGAGCCAACCACTGCAGACTGCTCAGCAGGCTTTAGTCAGCCCGACTGCAATGCCTGGATTGTCTGGAAACACATAGCTGAGGCCCCATAGCTACTTTCTTCTTCAGCAGTGTCTTCACCATCAGTAGGTTTTTGAAGTTGTTTTTAATATATTTTTTTATTAAGAGAAAACATGTTCTCAACTGTTAAGCCCATTTGCCCCCACTGTTTTTGGTGCGTGAGTGCGTGTATGCGTGTGTAACTTCTCAGCCTGACGTGTGGGTTTGCACCACAGCTGGAGAAGTTGGTGATAGGACTTAGTTTGTATTGCATGGAGTAGAACAAAGCAAAACTAATCAGCTGTTATGTACTAGACGGTTATTCTCTCGTACCTTGTTTTAAATATCTTTTCTCCTCTGGAAGCAAGTGCCCCAGAATGGGGGTGAAGGCACTTGTGTGTTCCCCCTCAACCTGCCAAGATGTACAGTGCTGAGTTCTCATGTTTTTTCTCTGTAGGAGTCGAGGCTGTTTCCCTCCTTCCTGCCATGTCAGGGCAAAGAGAGCATGTATTTGCAGCCAGGCATAACTCTTGTGTACTTTATCCATTCTGGGGCAAAATAATAATTGGAAAGGTGCATTGTAATGTAAGAATTGTTTTATTTATTGAAATGTCTGAGGGTATCTTAAATACTGACCACAGCACCTGGGAATTATGCTTTGGGTCTTCTTTGAACACCCGTTACCTAGCTGACCGTTATTTGATGTTAGCACTGTGTACAGCACGCACGCTTAGCAGAATAGCCAGCCAGCCCTGCGACACCACCCTGTACCTGCTCTGTAGGGCGTCTCGCTGTTCTCTATGAATACACTAAATGAGAGGACAATAAACTGTACCAGGACGTTGGTGTGAGCAGCAGTTTGTGAGGAGGAAGCTGCCACCATGGCTGTTTTCTGCTGTACTGTGTGCACCTTTCTGCTCGCCTGGTGGCTGCTTTGCTTCTACTGCTTTTACAGCCACGGGCAGGCCTATGGCCCCGCTGGTGTTGGGGTGTGCCACTCTTCCCCCTTTAGGTTTTCCTTATGAATTATTTGGTGCTCTTGGGTTTTTTTCCCCGTTGTTAATTGTCTGCAGTACCTGGCAGTAGCAGTGGGGCTGGAGTTGCCGGGTGGCAGTTCCTCCCTGTTCCCCTCCGTTCTGTTCATTGCTGCACATCACCTTGGCATCACTCTCAAGCGCAGAGGTGGGGTAAGAGCTGGAGGGCTGCTGCAGAGGTGTAGCAAAAGCTGCTGCATTGCCTCAGCTGAGGTGAATGTAAGCAGCAGTGTGTTGCAGTGAGAACAGCCGTGTTCTCAGGGCTAACTGCTGAGCTTGGAGAGGCTATAGGCAGGCAGGTGTGGTGGTTTCTTCCCAGTTGAGGCCAGGCTGCTTGTTCACCTAACCCCATCAGAGCAGACTCTTTTTAAGCAAGAACCTGTCAGATAGAAGAGAGGCATCAATGCTCAGCCTTCTGCTGGAAGATCAATTGTGTTCTTGCTGGTTTGCTGTAGCGTGCGGAGGAAAAGCAGCAAACCCCTCTTGGTTCAGTTACCATGTGCCCCAGGCAGTGCCAGTGATCTCTTCCTCCCCCTCCCAGCCTCTCTGCTGGCCTTGCAGAAGCCGCAGTGCTCATTTCATAACCTGCAGTGACCGGACAGAAAGGTGCTGTCTCTGATCTAGCATTTGTTTGATCTGCCTGACTGTTCCCTCGCACACTGTCCAAACCATGTTGCCTGGTGGTGCCCAGCATACTTAAATAAAGTCATTCATATACAACTCTCGAGCCTCCTGGCCTCATCTTCCCACATTTGCAGGTTTAAGGCGGTAACTTGTGTTCTTTTGCCTGTGCAGAATTGTTGCTGGACAATCTGTGCAAGGAGACACCATCTCTGCTCCAGGACTGCATTCATGGCCTGACTCTTGAGTTGAGGGAGGAGACTCCTGGGCTGCAGCTGTGGTCTGCCCTGCTGATGTCCAAAGCTGCTCTTCTTGGCAACCATTATATATTGTGTTTCTCACTGTCAACAGGTCAAGGGCAGCTGAAGCATAGAGAAGCTGCAAGTGAGGGCTGGTGCAGGCAGCGAGGGCAGCCCTGGCTGAGCAAGGGTGACGAGCGATCCTGCTGCCATTGTGAGAAAAGAGCTGGTGCCAGCCCAGGCACTCACTGAGAACTAACATGGTGAGCTTTGCTCCCAGGGCAGGCCTGGGGGAGCAGCACAGTGGTGCAGTGCCCAGGCCTGCGACTGCCCCCAGCCTTTGTGCCGCTTCCAGAAGCGGGTGGTGCAGGAACAAGACAGTCCAGTCCCTTGGGCCCTCCAGAGCAGCAGGGGTAAGTGAGTCGCCTCCCCCCAAAAGGCACGTGATACACCAGCCCACTGATCCCCTCTGTCCCCTGCAGGAACAGGCCTAGGCCCCTGCACAGAGCAGTCCCCTTTTCTCCCACACAACCACAGTTGTGCCCCTGCAGCACCGCACGAACCCAGGCAGGTTAGAGCCACCTGCTAGAAAAAAAAAAACAAACCACAAATCACCAAGCAATACAGAAAAGATCATCTTTAATTTATGAAATGAAGAATCATTCTCAGATTTTGTTAGAAGTCACACAAATAACTTAAGATTGAATCCAGAGCTACAGAAGCCTCACGGCAGGAATGTCTTGGTCCAAGACAGAAGGCAGCCGTGTCCTGAGGCAAGATGGCAGGTTTGTGGGCTGAGACCCCAGAGGGAACCTGGCACTAAACAGAGAATGGCCACACCCCTAAGCGCACAAGGGCTCTCAAATGCTGCCTGCACATCACCTCCTCCTGCAGGCATGCACAGGCCAGAGCTCTGCTTTGGCACATCTCTTCTGCCTGCACCCAAACACAGTGCAGGGATTGAGGAGACACTCCCTCACCTCAGGGAGCCCTTTGGTGCCTACCTGCCCTGTCTGCTCCCAGCCAAAACCAGAGAGACCAAAGCACCTGCTCTCCTCCTTGGGTCCATCGCTCAGCAGACAAAATGAGATGATCAAACTCTCTGGCACCACTTCAAGCAGAGAGGAGCTGAGGTGTCTGTGTCGCCCCACCGAGGTAAAATCTCAACACTGTGACTGCCCAGCACTGTGTCAGACACACTCTGAAGAGGAATCGAAGGCACAAAAGCAAGACCTGGTGTCCCTTCCAGGCTGTGCTCTCCCCCTGCAAGAGGGGAAGGCGCCAGGCTGCCTCATTGGGTCACTGGGGACAGCCCTGGGCAGGGAGGCACTTCCATCAGCTGGGTTAGGGGTTGGCTCCCTCACCTTGGCCCCACAGCCCCAGCCAGCATGGGAGGGGGCTCCCAGCACAGCTGTGTGACAGTGCTGACCCGAAGGGGCTGTGGAGGGGAGAGGAGCAATAAACACAGGCAATAAGATGCCAGATAAGATGTTCCAGCTCCAGGCTCTGAGCCCAGTTCTAGCCCAGTGCCTTTCCCAGCCTAGCAACTCCCTCTGCAAGGCCACGAAGAAGAGAGCCTCAGCATAAAACAAGCACAGCAGGCAGACCCTGGCTGTGCAGGATATTGTCCTGGGAACAAGAATGCCTAAGAGCGGATTTGGTCCAAGAACCATAGCACTATATGTGGGAGGGCTTGTACCAGCTACTGGGAAAGGCCTTCAGGGTCCTCTCATCCCTGCTCCTGCTGTCCTGCAATCACCCCCTCAGTCACTTGGTCCCTCAGGAGCCTTGCACTCCACTCCCCAAAGCTGCAGGGCTCTAGCATGGACAGACCCCCTGTGCAGTCTCCTCCTGCTCAGCCAGAGAGGCTGCGGCTCCCCAGGGCCATGCCCAGGCCAGAGGACTGCACCGGGGATGTGTCTGTCCCCAGCAGACGCTGCAACCCAGCACCTCCCTGCTGGGATGCGCAGCCCTCTCCTCCCTGGGACAGGCTAGGATAAAGTGGTGTTGCTCCTGTGGCCAAGCGATCTATCCCAGGCCTCTCATGCTGAACTTGTCTGCCTTCCCCAGCAACCACCTCCTGGAATGAGTAAACATTACCATTACAGCATTTCACAGTTGAACCGTAAACATCGGGGTTTCTCAGCCCACCATCGCTGCGCTTAGCCTGCAGTCCTGCACCAGCCTGGAACCAGCAACACCTCAGGGGCTCAGGCGCCCCTAGATCATTTTGACCTCTGGTGCTTGGCCTTGCATCAGACTTTGGCGCTGAGCCTTCACCATCTGCAGACGCTTCCCGTGCAAGCTGAACTGAGACCAGGTGAGGAGCTGCAACAGCGCACATGTGATGGGAACAAAGACGAGGAGGTAAAAGCAGCCCTGGCGAAGAGTTGGCTCCAAGGCTGCAGCAGACTCCAGCTTCGGCTGGGCACTCATCACGTTGCTCAAGGGGTTGCGCTGGAAGATGTCATAGCCTGGTGTCAGAGAAGAGTTTGTGAGACCAGGGACAGCGGAGATGGACCCTTGTCCGTTCTCTCTGAGTGACTGGCCTTGGAGATGCAGAGACCAGGCGTGGCTTAGCAACTGGAAGAGCGCTCTGCACCCACCTGGGGCACGGGACATCACGGAGGACACCGAACTCACAGGTCTGCCCTCTCCTGCCCCACTGCTATCCCCAGGAGCATCCTTACCTGTGTACGCGCAGAGCAGCCAGGTGCCAATCAGAGGGGCGAAGGTCTGGCCCGGCTTGGTGACCAGAGCCACCATCCCAAAGAGCAGCGCTGAGGCTGCCTGCTTCCTGCGGTTCAGGACGAGATCCTCATCCACCAAGTCAGTGACCACCAGGTTGAGCAACTTACAGGTCCCTTCTGTGAACACCCGGTTGCTGCAGAACAACAGACAAAGCACTGAATAGGGGCATCAAGAAATGATGGGAGTAGGCGAGAGATCAGAGAAAATGGAGAGAGGGTGAGAAAGGTTCACTCGCACTTAAAATAGGAATTTCAGAAGCCCTGGTTACAGGAGGGGAACGCTGCTAGCAATAAGTCACTGCGTACCATGCAGCGATACCTTGGATCAGTCCTGACCTGCCACACAGACAGCCCTGCGGACAGGAGACGCTGGGCCAGTGGCTAACAGGCAGCCGCAGCACACACTGAGGGCTATCACCCCAGGCAGGCTGCAGAGGACGAGAGGAGCTCAGCTCAGCAGCTGGGAGAGGCTGCTGCAGGGGGCCACCAGCCCTGCCTGGTCTCTGTCCTCCTGCACACCCCTGCCTCCCTCACCCTGCTGCAGGCACAGCCAGTGGATTCTGCAGTGACCCATCCCATGCTTGGGTGCTGTCAGAGCTGGGCGCCACATGGCTTCTGTGTGACCCTGGCTACTGTTCCCTGCCTCCCACTCCTCTCCGTAAAACAGAGACAAGTCATTTCCCTTCCCCAGTTGCAGAGGGCAGGGGAAGCGAGTGCTGTCTGCCTACCTGGCAATGAAGATGCAGAGCAGATACACCTGATCAGGTCCGGCCAGGAGCATAACAATGCTGAGAGTCAGCTTCAGGAAGAAGAGTCCTCGCACCACAGCGTAAACCCCACAGCGGCGGCAGAGGGACAGGAAGTACAGGTTGTTGAGATGGGGGGCAATGTAGGAAACACCTGAGCAGAGACAGAGGCACAAATAGCTTGAGGGAGTTTCAGTATCCACCATGCCTCCAGGACTGATACAGAGAGAGAGAGAGAGAGAGAGAGAACAAGGCTGGCTATCACCTCCAGGGTTGTAGGACACACAGTACAGAACAGCCCCCATGCACAGACACAAGGCTGCAGCAAATTTACTCAGTGGCTTAGTGGCTTTGTGGCACAGCGCACACTCTTCCTACAGAGGGAGGCCTTCTTCCATCAACCTCGTGAGCAGGAAGGAAGAAAAGACTTGCCCAGTGTCACACAGGGGCTGG